CGGTGTGTGGATCTTTCAACAGGGGGCGAGCGCGCGACCCAGAAACGCACGCACTTCTTGTTCGTTTGTTCGAGCTACAAGTCGAGTATGAGTTTATGCTGTCCCTCAAATGGGTCCCGTCGGCTGCCAATGTCGTCGCTGATGATATCTCTCGCCCTTCGCGTGAGGGCATCATCAGGCTCAACCCGGCGGCCTTTCAGGCTCTCTGGGCAGACATGGGGCCGTTTACTATCGACCTCATGGCCTCCGACGCTTCGGCTCAACGTATCCCGGAGTCGGACGTTGTTCTGCCGTTTTTCTCGCGCTATGATTGCGAGGGTTCATCGGGTGTAGATGTTTTCGCCCAAGACGTGTCGTTGCGCCCAGGTTCTCTGGATCGAGCATTCGGTTATTGTTTCCCGCCGCCGGTGATGGCGGGCCACGTAGTGCAACACCTTGCGGAGTGCCACGCGCATGCGGTTATTGTTGTACCGGGTTCTAGGTCTTACTGGTTCCCTCGAGTGCAGCAGGCGGCAGTACGGTCTTTGCTGATTTCCCCGCCTAATGCGGGGGGATATTTCCAGTGGCCCTGCCCAGATGGGTCCCTGAAAGAGTGGAAGTACCCGAGGTGGTCCATGGTAGCTTACGAGGTTGATTTTGGTTCTTGTTCTTAGGTGGCCGCCGCTCTTCAAAAAAAAAAAAAAAAAAAATCTCTTTGATTGACACCGGTACCTTGTAATGCAGCATGCGACTCTCGTCCATCTTGCCCAGTTCCCTCCCTTTGGCTTGTGGATGGCTTGTGCTTCGTCTCACAGGTCCCCACCCTGCCTCCGGGCGGCTGTGTCCAGTTTGTCGCGTGTTCGTCGTGCCAGACGGAAAACGTGGGACATTACAACTATTGTTGGTCCTGCGGTGTTCAGCCTGCCCGCGGGCGTCCGGTACCGCGTGACCCCCAAGCGGCTCGGGTGTTGATCGATTTCGACGCGCTGCGCGCTCGGGGTGATCAGGTCCTCTCGGCCGCGTCTAACCGTCGTGCTCAACAGCGTAAGTGCGCCGTAGCGGACGGGTTCGACGCTTTCATACTTTCGGCGACTCAACAACGTCGGGGTTGGAAGCAGGCGTCGGACCGAGACGTGTTTGACTATCTCTGCTTCTTGGACACACAAGGTAGTGGTACCAAGTGGGTGCACGACAGGGCATGCCCTGGTGTCGGTACGACTCACGGCCGCGATTGCCTTCCAAACTCGCCATGTGCTAAGCGGTATGCTGCCGCGTCCATGCAGAAAGGGATCGTGTCCAAGCTGAAGATGGCGATGCAAGAACAGTTGGGAAAAGACAGCAGCTGGGACCCTGCCACGCGCTCGGGCAACCCCTGTTGTAGTCCTCTCGTCGACTCCTACCTCGTCTTCACGGGGGAGGAACAAAAACGTGTGGGTGTCGCTGTCAACCAGGCAGAGGCTATGTTACCGCACGTCCTCATCGATCTGTTGAGGGACATGCGCTCTCGCGCGCAGACTGCGTCCTCTTTGGCGGAACGTATTGAGCTCACCAGGGACGTCGCTTTGTTTTCGCTGGCGTTCGCCTCCATGCGGCGAGGCCATGATCTCTCCTTCACTATGGGATCGCAAGTTCTGCGGTTGCCCGCGGGGCAGGGTCTGATTTTCAACTTCCAATTCGGCAAGACCCTCCGCGACTCCGTTGATGCCGTGGTCGTGCGTCCGGACGTCGCTTGCCCGTCTATTTGTGCTGTAAGCAATGTTACGGCCTACATCAGTGCGGCGGAGGGTATTGGCTGGGATTTGTCCCAAGGACATCTGTTTCCTATCGTTCTGCTGGATGGAACTCGGGGCTGTGCTCCGCTTACGGCGGTTCAGATGACGGCTGCCCTACAAGGGCATCTGCGAGCGGCGGGACTGCCGCACCGCTACACTATGCATTCGTTCCGCGTTGGAGGTTCGGTAGCGCAGTCGCTTGACGGAACGGCGATGGACGCTATCATGAAAATTGCCGGGTGGCGTACGGAGAGTGTAGCGAAGCGATATGTTGGCGCCACTACTAGTGTGGGGGCAACGGGTTCCAAGAGGATCCGGAGCGAGCTGTACGCAGACTCAAACGTGTTGCCGTTGTCGGCTGACTTCACATGCGATTTCTCTGCGTGTGCTCGCCGCGAAAAATAAGAAAGTTTGGGTGGGCGAGACCTAGCTTAGAGGCGTGAGTGGTCAATAAATAAGATGTGACAGATCGGATAATTAACAAGAAAGTAATGGGCGGGACCACAGACCGGCGCAGGAGGCCTCACCCAACCAAATCCAATACTTACATTGAATGATCTGGGTAAGGGATAAGAATACAACAGTAATCTCGGATTTGAGACGCATCTAGATTTCGGAACGAAATCGAGAAGAGTCAGATATTCCAGAAAGGATGTTGGAAAATGACCCCACCTAGTTCAGTCCCCCTTTTCTCTCCCGAAATACGCCGGAGCAGAGAAGAAGGGGTATATTTGAGACCATCCCACCCGCCCTACACAATGCTTACTATATTCATGAACTTGCTGATCATTCAAACACTTTGGGCCTGGGTACACCCAGCCCAAAGGGTTACTTGTGGCGAGGCCCTCCTGCAGGCGCAGGAGGCCTCACCCAACCAAATCCAATACTTACATTGAATGATCTGGGTAAGGGATAAGAATACAACAGAATATTACGGTCATTCTAGCGAAAGAGAACCGCTGTTTACGATATCCAAGCGTTTATGACCCTCCCCCTCTTGGTATAAGGTTCATCAGTTCATCATCGTCCCTTTTCTTGTCTCTACGATACAGTAGATTCACTTTGCATAGATGTATTTCGGTTCAGCAGAGTTTGTCATAAGAGTTGGTTGGAGTTGCTCCTCCCACCGTTAACTACGCCATGGAAATGCCTTTGTTTGGCACCTGGACATACCGACCGGCTGGGATAGGTATTTTTCTCTCTTTCCGCAGATGTCTCGGCGACATGTTGGTGGTGATCATAGGTACCTATGGTAGAAATAGACGGTCCATTCCTTTTTGTCAAGCGTTGCTGCTTCTCTGTAGTGATTCGACCCAGGGTATGTCGGGGAAATTGGCACTTCTTGGGGATGTGGACTTGTGGATGTTGACGATAGTCTCGTATATTTTCTCGAAGATGTGTTGTTCACTTTTGTTGGAACTCCATGTTTAGGGTAGTTCTTGAGTTGCTGCGTGCTCTCCCCGTAGTTCGTCGCACCGGCAGAACGTGCTCATGCAGGAATGACCACTGATGCACAAAGGAAGAGGACTCGATTGTGATTCTGATACTCATTTTCACCAAGGGAATGCCCAACCCCGAACGAGAAAATATTTTCTATGTGTTCCAAGAAGCCCAACCTTTATCACAGCATGAACATGTGGGTTCCAACGCCGATATTGTACTGTGCTGTAAGCTTGTAGCTACATGTACGCGCACAAAGGAGTTGGGGGGTGCGAGACGTGTGCCCCGCCAGTATGCACGTGGGCAACAAGGTGCGTTTGACTACTCGGGGCGTGTGTGCCGGTTCGGAAGAACCTACGAGTGAGGTGGTGCATGGAGTTCGCTTTTGAGGTGGTCACTTTGCAAAAAAACACGAAGAGAAGAACATCTGCACCCTCCCTGGAAATGTTTTCAGATTGAATTGCCGTACATGTGGCGGGCTCGGTACGATTTGGGTGGTACCAGGCGATTTGCTGTGATGCCAGCCTGCTTCATATACCCAGAACGTAATCTTGTGGCATGTCTTGTGGAATAGGATGAAAAGTTATGGTCGATCTGAGGCGAATACGCAAGGCGCGACAGCAACCAACGGGGACGACATACTTGATATTGGCGTATGAATAGGGATGGTAACTTTTCTTGACATGGAAACATTATTCTTCAATAAACATGGCAACACCACTTTACGATAGAGCGATGGATATGCGACAAGCAACACTCAATTTTGCAACAGCAACACACAAACTTAAAGAACTGTTGTGCAGCATAAAAAAACAGAAATTATCACCACCTATCTATCGCCGGTCGATCGTGCTTCCGTGGCACTTTCTTCGGCCGCGGTCCTCCCCTCCCTCCGCCCCTTTTCCCCCTATCCCCGCGGTACTCATTCAAGTGGTACTTGAGCCATCTCAGCTCGACCCCCCCCGTCGAAAGGAACATGTTCTGTTCCGACTTCATGCGCAGCGTTCTCGACAGAGCCGGGTTTCCTGATAACACCCAGGCGTCCTTCTCGGCTACTTCTCGTCGCAAGAACTCCAGCAGTCCGAGCCAGCTCTTCTCCGCTCCCTGATCGAGCCTGTAGTCCCAGGGGGGGTTCGTGACAGCAAGGCCGACGGAAGCGGGGGGTCGCCACCTCCCTACGTCCTCGTCGAAGAGAGTGATGCAGTCCTCAACACCGGCAGCCTTTGCGTCCCGCTGACAAGATCAGGCGGGTTTTCGGGGCGGGGGGCGGGGGCGTACTCATGTATTGCAATGCCTCAGCAGCTATACCCTTGACCACACGTACGTGCTATGTCGGGGGGCGTGCTCACGTTTTCATTGCCTTAGCGGTTAGTCCATTTACCACGCGTTCTCGAGAGGACGGAGCCTTGTTCCCACGGGACCGATTACCGAAGGCCAATCGTTCCTTCCAATCTTGCTCAAGGTGTCTCGAACATTTTCCCTATCCCATTCATCATATCATCTACATCTAGCTTGTTTTCCCCCCCTTTTCAGGGGGAGGGGGGGGGGGGGGCAGAATTACCCTCAACCCAAGTTGGAGGTCTTAATCTCGACAAGCAATCCGATAGCGGCCACGAAGCACCCACCAACACACATGCAAGCTAAGCGGACGACACCGTCCCCTCACGTCCCCGAACAACCGAAGAACGATTTTTTCTGCACGCTTCCGTCTAAGAATCTCGATGGAGGGCGGGTGTTCTAAGCTCGGAGCGCAGAGGGGGAGGGGAGTACAATGGAATAAAACCTTCTGCATACTGTTCTCCAGGGGTAATTTGGCACATGTCGGTCAACTCGTGGCATGCTGGTACGTGCACTGATGCAGCTCCATCTCCCCCTCCATCGGAAGATCACAGTTCTCTGTCGGACCAATCAAATAAAATACTCTCTTCCTTACGCGATGATTGATTTCTAAAAATCCATCAAGGTATCTATGACACACTTACCCAAGCCAGCGACAACGCCCCATGATGCCAGTCGTTCCCCATGATTGCTGCCGGCGGTTTCGCCCTCTGCAGCTGCAGGGCTTCCCCCACGGTCTCTCTCCAGAGCACCGGGTCGAAGTCTGGCCAGGCAGTCACCGCAGGCTTCCAACCGGCCACTTTCGCCCTACCCCCACCCCCGTACGCCCCCATCGCAACCAAACCTGGTGCCCTGCGAAGAGCGATGAGAGCCGCCTCTATCACCAGCGTGCCCGACCCGCACATGGGATCCGCCAGAGCTTACAAGCCACCACCACAAGACGGACGCAGCAAGCACGACAGAGAAGAAAATTGAAAAGGGGGTATTGGGTGGCAAGAGGGTGTAAGGTACGATGGGGGGAAATGGAGCACTGTTGTTGCGTGTCAATACAAATTAAGTGGAGCCCTACTGGTCACCGGTCAACAAGAGGTGGAATAAAGGCCACACCATTTCTTACACAGAATGAAGAGATACCAACTACGCCCACCGAATCTACTCGAATGTCCGGGTCCCACCCCCAAAAATGCTGTAAAAATATACCAACCACGCCCACCAATCTACTCGGATATCCGGGTTCCGGGTCCCACCCACGACGCTGCTGAAATGGCTTCCAAACACTTCCCCACCAATCACCTTGCGTCTCAGGGTCCCACCCGCTGGCCAGGAGGAGCCCAGCGGCGACATTCTCCTTCAGTGAGGCCGCGTGCATTGCGTCGCGGTACCCCCTCTTGTGCATCGAGCGAGTGCCGCTAAGGCTGCGGTACAGGAGGGCCCGGCCACGGTCGAGGTAGACCACCAAGGGGAGATCCGCGTTCTCCGTGTCGACGGAGGGCCGCTTGCCGTCGTCTCGAAGCTGGTCGACCACCGCGTTCTGTCGTTTCGGATTCGGTTTCGCAGGGTACGGCGGGGGGTCAGGGTTAATGGTGCCTAGGGCATAGCAACGAATCCCATAATCTCAGCAGGGATGGAACATCGCACCCCAACCTCGCCTAGGGTTCAACGAGACGGAAGCTTTCATTGACACAGTGGGGGCCACACCCACGCAGAACGGTGCAACAACAGAGCAGACACAAGAAAAACAAAAATGTACTGCTGCCATCTGCGAAACACCACATGGCCGACCACACCTACAACCCAGGGAATAGACGAAAAGGGAAAGACACCACTTTACCTTAACCGTGAGGGCGGTGAAATGCGAGTGCGTCAGTCCGTCTGGTACTACGCCCAGAATGGCATCGACGCACAAAGTCTGCCCTTGTTCCATGTAGCGCGACCAAGGCACGGCCGCAGCCGCCCCGTACAGCGCCTCCCCCCCGTCGATGGGCGCCCCAAGGGGGCTACCCCCCTCCCCGACAAGCTCCAGGACCCTGCGCAGGCATGTTTCGAAGGTTGTTGGAGAGACACAAAACAAACGTAAGTGGCGCCGAAATTGTGCAGCCTATACGTTCCGTGGCAGGCATCCAAGAGGACAAGTATTTGGCACCGCTTTATTTAGATGCGCCCTAGAATGAGGGTCGCGTTTGTTGACGGCTGCGGAAAAGGGTTGGGGGCGTGCGTGCGGGAGGGGGGGTCCCCCAACAAGCTCAAGGGCCCTACGACCAGATTCCAAAAGTCCCAGAGCAGTGAATGATGAGTAAGCACACCACTGCTTCTTTAAAGTCGAGGCTTGTGTCAAACTAATCTTGCGCATCTATGTAGACAGCCCTTCGTCTATCGCTATCTCCGCGCGAGAGCCAAGCAGGGAAGGCTATCTTACCGGTGGGCGGTGCGAAGCCAGAGGATGGCCTTGTAGCCCACCGCTTGGTCTCCCCGAAAGTGGCACCCCCGCCCGCTGCTCTTCACCAGGGTGGCTCCAACAAGCGGTGACATGAGCTCGTCTCGAAGGACCGTCTCAAGGCCCCTGCAGGCCCGGAGACGGGTGCCAAGACCAAAGTTGGAGGGTACGGGAGAGCAGCCGTGTAAGCACGGCTCAAAAATATCAACGAGGAGGTACAGGACAATGATAACGATTCAAACGCCAAAGAGCATATGAAGTGTACCTTTTGTGTCTACCTACGAAGCGAGAGAGATATTTCGCGAAACTTGACAGGATGCGGGGTGTTGCCGTCCGTGTCAGCCCCCGGACGCTCCAAGTACCTACGCACGCGACGTACGCGGTAGGTTTCACCATGGGACAATCTACATTCCGCACGACGGCACCGTGAGGACGCAAAGAGTAGCACCGCAAAACGTCGGTCAGCCTTGTACGTAAAGTGATATTATGGCCGAACGATCGGCGCGTGATGCACCCGTCATGCGTTAGGACCATCACAAAGGCCTGGCCTCGCACATGGGGAGGTCGGAGATACAAAGTAGTTCGACACGCCTGTTACTGTAACTGATGTGGACCCTACACCTTTACCGTGCACACACGAGCGCATCGGCTGGACTATTCAACACCTTACAACCTCATTTTGGTACGTGCCAAAAGCATTGGAACAACAAGCCTTGACTGTTATTCCACAGCAACAGAGAGAAATCGCTTCGAATCACCCCCAAAAATCGGGCCAACGGTGAAATACACAGATGAGTACCGGTGCGACCCACATCGTCATTGTTCTGTTTTCTGCGCACTGCAACTCGATCAAACCTCGACCCAGCACCTCCCAGTCGACAACCCACCATTATTTATCATCGCTACAGGCTAGCAATCCAAACAAGGTGAATTAGGCTAGAACATGAACAATACAAGAAAATTTTCCTGCTCTTGACATCATCCACACACTTCAATTCTACGGTCGTACCAGTGGCGGTCTCCAAAAACGATTCCTGACCGGAAGCCAGGGGCGGGGTTGGCTCTACCCTATCACCAAGCACATGCATCTGGAACGTTGATATCGAAGAGAAAACGAAGAAAAAACTAAGGAAACGCGCAGCAGGCACAACACACCTCGGACAGGTGGCGAAGTACGATCTCTCGCCGGGAGCCAGCGGCGGATCCGGCTGCCGCTTGGCGTGCCTCTGCCTCGGAGGCTTCTCTCCCGGCGCGCCCACCCACCTCCTGCTCCCCTTCTCTCCCACCCAGCCCTTCTCCACCCCGTCCCCTTCTGCCCCGCCGGCCCAATCCCCCCTAGGCGAACCCCCCGCGGAGGCTTGCTCCGCCGGAGATAAGGGCACCGTTGATGATGACGTCGAACGTTTGGTTGGGTCTTGTTGTGGTGCTGGCTGGTGTTGCGCCGGAACTGCGGCGCTTCGTTCTGACTGGTGGTTTTTGGTTTGGTTGCGGGTTCATGGCGGTCCTTCATTACGCTAGGTGAGGGTCAAGGTGCTGTTCGGAATAGCTGCGTGAGGGGTGATGGGAATGGGCGAGGGGAGCCAAGCGTAGATGCGGTGATACCAAACGACATGCGACGAGTACGCGTGACGTCGACGACCCGTTGTTGCGGCTTATCGCACATGGCAAACCTCGCCATTGCTGCCAATATTCCGCTAGTTCTGTACTGCACGCAATACCTCACACAGCAGTCAACTTCGCGAAACAAGGTCGTCCTTGCTGTGGTTTCGGCAAGAAAAGGCACACGACGTCAATGTGACACAAGAAGGAAGGCCAAAACGGCAAGACAGAAGGACACCTCCTTCTTTGGAAAAGGCCTAGACACAACGTATCCCAAGGTGAAGTCATCTGGGAACAGCGCCAGGACCCCAACGGACCCCGATTGAGTCCAGTCTCGGCGGGTGGTCACAGTCTTCCGAGTTCTTGTAGATACGTTAAATTTTTCTCCCCGCAATTATCTCGCCTCCAAGACTCCGGCCCGGCTCACCTCTTGGGCGGCTGCTTTGGCCCTAATCTTGTCCGCAAGGACAGGCACGGCTTGTGCGATGATGTCTTCGCCGCCCTCCAGGCTGAGGTCGAGCCCGAGGCGGGCCTTCATTCCCGACAGCTCAGACGGAGAGAGCTTTCGGAGGGCTGTCTCGGCCCTTGCTTCGGCGTCGTCGACGCCTTCTTGGGGGTTTGGGGACGAGAACGCCTTTCCTGCTGGGCGGGAGGAGGAAGAAGATAATGCCGGAGGGTTATGTTCTCCTGATTGAATCGGCGTCGGAGCTGCGTCTCCACCTGAAATAACTTGAGTGTTGTGGCAAAAGGCGAGGAATGCCGAGCGCGTCCCTTACCTTGATCTTCTCCCGCTGATTCCGGCGTGGACGATGCCGTCGACAGAGAAAGCCGAACTAGTCGCCGTCGGCGAGGGGGGGTTGCTTCTGCCGCTAGCGCTGCGGCCGTTCCTCCGAGTGTCGCGGTTCGGCAGTGGCGGTCAGCTGTGGGTAGCCTTGGTGCGTCGGCGTCGGGCGCCGAAATCGCTGCAGCCGGGTGGAAGGGGCTGCACCGTGGAGATGGCGGCAAGAGCAGCCCGAAACTGGCGACCGATGCCGTTGTCAAAGCACACAGGAGCAGCGACGGAGGCCATCGTTCCATCTGCGTGCCGAACACAAACGTTATACGTACGTGAGATGTTGCGTGGGGAGGAGGCAGTGTGCAACAAACCGGTTTGTGGTCGCGGTCCCGAAGGTTTCGCCACCCTTTTACTTCGAAAAGTGGACCCACTGTTGTTGTTCTTGATCGATTCTCTCAAGCGAATGCCAGGTGTGTTGCTGTTGCCGAAGGCATACAGCTGCAGCAGCGAAAGGGTAACCATGGCTGCGACCAGTTCTTATCTGTTCTTCCTCAGAGACTCCACAAGTTGGCGGCAATGGACATGGCAGCAACACCCGTCGTACATAGCACCCCATCGCATACACCACCTGGTTTCACGTTGTAGTATATGCCCCCCCCACATGTACTGCGACACAGTTTCCAACGGAAGCCCCCAAGACAACTTTGTGCCATTGAGTACTTCACAGAGACTCACTCCCACAAATTCTCGATGGAAGCGGGGATAGGTGCGAATACCCCGTTTCGAACCATCATCAACGTTCAGACATACAGCTCGGGTGGGTGGGAGCAACCCACATGCTTTGGTGGGGCACCAGTTTCCCGCAGATCAGAGCTTCCTTCACAATCCCGAGAGCTATTTGTTGACGTGCCATCAAACAGGTGGTGCTATCAATGCGACTTTACAATCAGATCCTAACAGCATTGCTCATCGAGTTGACTGGCCTCCGGCACCGGAACTGCTGCTTTTAGTAGCGCTGTCGGAAGTCAGGCTATGTGTTACCATTTGAATTTGAACCGCCTAGGGACTGCACCAAGAGAACATGACGTGTCAGCAAGTTTAGCGGTGGTACATGTTATCTTCTTCGAAGTGTAGTCTACCATAAGCAACACCACCCAGGAATATGACACACGATATATTGCAGCAAGGTAGGAAGGTACATACAAGTACCAGTAGGTATGTTGTAAGGGGAACACAATGCCTACATGCCATCTTGTTGCAGCACTCCTTACAAAACATAGCTCTCGCTCCAACAGCAGGGATATTGCAAATCTTTGGTCGCCGCCTTTCAGCGATACCTCTCACAACCAGCAATCTGTGCACCTCCCACGTTCCCAAGTAAAGCCTTATCATGCTACAGCAGCACTACTACAGCTGTACTGCTGTACAGCAGAGGCTACCGTCGGTTGAACTGTACTGCAATACCTGAGGCGCCGCTGTCCGTACACCAGAGCAGCAGAGCAGAGCCGCACACGACAGTTACTGCTGAGATGAACGCAACTGACGCGGTCAAGACTCAACCTGGGCCTCTGATGACGAGTGAGTTCGTCCCTTTTCGCTGACCCCTCGCTGTGGCGGGGGGTGGTCTTTGGCTATGGTGGGCAGTGCTCGCGGTCTTGCCACGGGACTGTCGGGAAGGGGGCGCCGCGAAATGGATGCCAATCATACTACAGTAGTACATGTGTACTGCAGTACCCCTTGCGGCGAAGCTCAAAGACTAAAGACTATAGACTTGTATAAATAACATATCAACGTGTATTGTCGTAGTCTTTGGCGAAGCTGGTATGTAGCGGGCCAGATCTGCTCTGCATTGACCAATCAGAGAGCTTCATTGTGCTCTGCATCGTAAAAATGCAAGGTCATCGAAACCTTTTTGCTCTGCATTGGCCAATCAGTGCCCTGCATTTGCTCTGCATTTGCTCTGGATCGCGCGCGCACGCCGAGGTAGCGCCGCACCTAGAGTAGTACTGCTGTCATGCCCTATCCTGCTGGAGCGATGCTCTTCTCCGCGACTCTAGTCGGCAGAGATGCTTGTTGAGCCAAGCAAGGGGAGGACAAGGCGAAGGGCTGGAGCGAAGTCTGGTGCGACGGACACATTGATGGGCAGTCGTACGGCCGGAGCATATTGGAGCGCATCATCTGCATCGCTCTGCACAGAACACTGCTGTCTGCAGACGAAGTAGTCGACCACTTGGGGTATGATGGCGAGGCCCAATGCTCCTGCTAGCCCTGACCAATGGATGGACCTACCTGTTGCTGCAGCACAGCAGCACACCATGCTTCCACCTGCTGCTGTATCAAGAGAGGTAAGAGGTTGAAGACGTTCGCACTGCCAGCTACATCTGCACACGGTACGGGAAGAGAGAACTACAAGCCCGGTACATCTAAAGTCTCCAACAGCCAGTAGAGATACCGTCGATACCGTCCATGAGCAGCAGTCGTTCGTACAGCAGTGGTACCTCTTTGCTCCTAATTCACCTTTCGCTTGCTTGTTCAGCGTTCCATCACGGAAAACCATGTTGTATGCATGTCAGCAGTTATTATTATAAATGGTGGTGTTTCAAAGTGCATGACCGAAAATCGATGTGGAGTGATGGCCGCTGTGAGCTCATTGCAATCCGTCACATTCGTATCGCGGGCCAATTTGAATGATGATGAGCTGCCGGGCCAAAAAAATCGCTGATCGAAAAAAATGAATCCATCGAAGAACCGAAAAGCTCTATGTAATGTAAGTACCGTAATAGAACTACAATATACATATGGTGCATTAACCGACGACGTTGATGCACAACGGGGTACAGTTGTCAAGATTCTTTGCGAAACAACAGTTTAATTCATGGTGAATGCGAGTCGTCAGGGTCCTGATGAGCAAGATCCGCTACGACAAGGACGACCCGGTCATAATACGTGCGCGACATTGTTGTGCTGCTCAACAACGGTAGCTGACCAGAAACACAGATGGGCTGGTGAAGGCCGGCACAGATATCGCAGTGACCACACCGTTTCACGAAGACACACTTTGCGAACAGCCAGTATGAGAATGCTGAAGGACACGTCGATACCGCCAGCAACTAACTGAGCATTTTCCGACACTCTACTTGTGAAATCATCGTTGACCATAGGGTAAGTGGACCCATCGCGAGTCAGAGAATATCGTCCCGGTGGCCCCTTTGTCAGGGTGCCTATGTGCCTACCGTGCAACAGAAAGGTGGTGGTACAAGTGCTACCAATGTACGACCTCTCCCACCTGGGTGCCAGCACCAACATGTCATGTTGGCGTCATGGTGGTATCCAACGAAGTACGCCATTCCCAAAGTATGCCAGGGAATCAAAGAGATGCAATGCTTCCGTTCTTGTTACCCTCTTCCAGACGGGCGACAGGTGGAACCGTGTTCGCGCAGCAAGCAGGCGAAACAAGCAAAGAGGCAATGATTGCCTTTTACGACCCTCGTCCAGATGGGCGACCGCCGGGCGTGAGGCTGTTCCAAAAAGGTTCACCAGGCTTGCAGAGGCATACAGACATTCCGTGACACACTGAGGACCAGAAGTCTCAGCGAAAGCGCCTTCGCCAAAAACCCGGGGCTCTCCGGTGTATGCCCCCGCCGCAGCGATCACATCTCAGCCAAGGGTGCCCGAAAAAAAAATTCTCCGACACCTACGTACCCATTTTCTTATTTGGGAGGCGTTTGGGGGGGGGGGGGGGGG